ACATCCAAAAGATCGAGGAAGACCAAACAAAACTCGAGGACAAGTTTTCTTCTATGAGGGGAGAATGATGCAGATCATGGAATTTAAGTATTATAATAAAATACATTCCTTTTGAAGCTATAATGCATTTATACTGCTTTAAGTTTGTGACTTATGATTATTTAAATCTTTTAGTTTTTTGGGAGTTATATTGTAAGTCATCATTTGAGTTGTCTTTTCATATTTTTTTCTTCATATTTTTCACTTTAAATTGTAAGCTTATAAATACATGTTTTTGTAAGGCAGAAAATATTAGTAGGAGTTGTTTGAAATATCATATTGAAATTTGAATTGTAAACTCATTTTTTAAGTGCCTTGCTCTTATTTAAGAGGTTTTTGTTTTTTTTCTTCTAATTGTATATGTTCTAGTTGTATGCGTTGTAGATTGGTACTCAATGCGAAGTACTTGAATTTTTGAGGTCTCTCTTTGCACATGGGGATAGTGCATCCTACTTATCTACCATATCCTATTCATTTTATTTTCACTCTTATTTCCCACCACATTTGTTCCCTGCATCACCTTGTTTGGTGTCTAAGATTTGATTGAATTGGATATCCTATTCGAGGTATGTTGAAAAAAAAATTTAAAAAATATGTCTAGCTTGAATGTATGAGATGAATTATTTATTAATGAAACATATCCTTAAATGGTAGGATAGTGTTTGCTTCTTGTTTCAGTCTACCTGGAGAAGTATGATTATTCAATCCAATTCAACCTTATGCAATCTAGACAGCAAGCAAATTATTAAGTTGATGAGTTGGATAAGCAGTTGTGACACGTAAAGAAAAAAGAACATGGAATATGCCAAGGAAAATGATAAGCACACTGTTTTTAGCCTCTTAGAGACTCTTGTTTATTTTGGTTGTTTGATTCCATTTGATTTATTCAATCTAATTATCATAAATATACGAAGCTAAAAATGGGGGGTAAAAATCACTTCCTTATGCGAATTTATGACTGTGAGACCCAAACTTTGTGGACGGAAATGGGGAAAAACATATTAATAGTGTCTAGTATTCCTCTTCACTTCACTTGTAAGTGAGAGGTCTTAAGTTCGATTATAACCAATGGCGAATTTAAACTACAATATTACTAATTTATTGTTAAACTTAACTCACCCCACCCTTTTGACTTAGTATAAATAATATTGCTTGGTTAAAAAACAAAATAAATATATAATAATTAACCGTATATTGTGATTTATAGTCCGAAACCATTTTCTTGGCTGAGTGCTAACTGGTTGGATTAACAATGGTCAATCTCATCGCGCCTTACACGGTCCTTTTTGTTGATGTCCTAACTTTTATTTTATGCTGGTATAAAACATAAATTATAAAATGTTCTCTTGAAGTGCATCGATAAAATATTGCTATACAAACACCATGATTTTCAGTTTTTTTGTCCCTTTTTTTCGTCAAGAGATTACTCGAGTGAGTTATTATTTTACGCAAAGAAGTAGCACACCCATCAAAACACACATCAATTTAAAGTCAAATTTTAAAAACTCAACAAAGTAGTTTTTATTTTTTATTTTTTTTAAATTAAAAATAGTTATCAAACAAAATTTCAATTTTAAAGAAAAACGAAAAGTGAAATGAAATGATTATCAAAAGATGCCCAAGTTATTATATTAACACCTCATAAATTGTTGAATAAATCAAACATATTTAATACACCCCACATTTGTTTTTTCAATTAAAAATTATCTTAATACACACCACTTCCTTCCCTAGAATACCCTCACACCCCACATTTTTAATATACACCTTACATTTTCTACATACACCCCACATTTCTCAAATCTTATAACACTCATTTGTAATTTTGCCGAATGATTTTAAACCATCTGAACGTTAGTTTGCAGAATGATTTCAAATTAAATGATTTGAAAATAATCAATACACCTCAATTATTTGCTAAGAATCATCGTACAACTCAATATCAATATTAATCTAATACTTTAATCGGTAAAGGGGGCGTAGTCTTATGCTCTGTTAGTCTTATGTAAATAATCAATAAAGCTTCTTATTTGGACAAAAAATGCTGACTGGATTTTTGACAAAAGATGTTGCCTAGGATTTAAGCATATGTGGGTTTGTTTTCAATTCCACCATTAAAACCCATATCGTCTATTTTTAATATTAGGTGGTAATTTTAGGTGTTTAATTCTTCATGTAACCCCTATGATCGATAAAGATGAATACGAACATAGAAGCTTAAATAATGCAGTAAAACCAAGATTAAATAATTATCGATATCGTCGAAATCACTAAAACAATGAAAAATATGAAGTCTTACCTCATGTGAAGCTTTCGAACACCAATTTCGTATTCTATTCGTCAAAAATAATTTTTCTCAATCAACATGTTTGTAGTTTCATTGGTTAGGGTTTTATTCAACAATGGAGGGTGGAAGAAGATAAGTAATACATTAAAAGTGATTTGGGGTGTATTTAGAATTTTTTTTATCTTTTTTAAACCTAATAAGGTCAAAATTGTCATTGCATATCATTAATATTAAATTTTAATGTGGGGTGCATTCAACATTTTGTGGTGTGCTAATATAAAAAGCCTTAACTTATTTGGTGTGTTATTATTAGGGGACACCTATTTTTTTTACTCATATTGTGGCACATACTTTATAGAGCCTACTCTATAACTTTTTTCAACAATCCAAACCGTATATATTTCAATTTATCGTTCGTAGATCATCCCTGTAAAAAGTTAGGCAACTTCAAAACTATTAAAACATTCATTTGTAGTTAAGAAAATGAATGAATACTGATAGGGATTTTTACCATTTGCAAAAGTAGGGATAAAAACACTTTAAATACTTGCAAGAGTACAAAGTTATCGTAGTATAGCAACTCAAGCAAGGTCGTTTTCCACAGGGATTGAATGAGTAATTTATGTAAATACCAAATTTTAATTAATTATTTGAAAACAAAGTTTGGAAGAAGGTAATTTTATGACCTAAAATATTAAAAACGAATTTAATTAAAAAAAATTAAATAAATTGGCAAAGTAAAGGAAACAAAAGAAAATAGTTTTGAAAATAAATTTGGGCACTAGGGTTCCGCCGTCATCTTAACAATCCTCCGTAGTTCTTCCAATTACTTGTGAATTACACATGCATATTGTGAAGGTTAGGTTTTCCTAAAGTATGCCCTACTTGGAACCTCCAACAAAGAACGTATATCTAACATGCAACCTGTCCGTGGTGTCGAGATTGAATGTGAACATGCAGGACTCATTAAGTTTTGTGAAAACCTTTTGAAAAACCATATAACCCTTAAGGCGTGTCGTCCATCCTAAGAAGTTACACGTATTAACCACAAGAAGCCAACGCCAATTCCAGGGACAACCCTCTGCCATAATTGCATCAAATTACTTTTCTAAATATCCTAATGGTGGCCAATCATCAAGACAATTAGATAGTTTCAAACACGGTGATTAATAATTCAAAACTTGCATGCATAATATCATAAGCAAAATATTATTAAGAACATATGGATAGAAAACACTTTAAAAATAAATTTGAATATCTTTATTTATACTACTACAAAATAAAACCCTAAAAGGTCTTAGAATAAAACTAGGAAACATAATAAAATAATAAAATAGAAAATAAAAGGTTTCCTATTTGAACTAAAATTCAGACTTCTCATAAAATCAGTATTTTGACCTACCAAATCAACTCCAATTTGGTCCCAAAAGGTCTCTTTTGAAAGCTGAAGACATCCCTTACAATATTCTAAAGGAATCTTCCTTAAAATATGCCATATTGACCTCCAAAATGCCCAAAACGTCTAGAAATGTCAATCTGGGAAAGCTAGGCGCTAGACCTTTATTTCATCGCCACGGTCAAATGGCTTGGTAGAAAAATTTGGTACTTTGATACAATCATCTTGAAAGACTCACGAACATCCTCCAATTGGAATCACTCCAAAATTCATCCGTTTGATCACTTTTTGCTCTAGAGGAAGTTGAATATCCTACATTGAAAATACATAACAAAGTATCAAAGTTCTACCAAAATAACTAATAAATTAATACTAAGAATAGGGTAAAATAAATGGTATAATATGGACTTATCAAATACACTTATACAAAGAAAATGAAAGTGACTACCATTTAATTCAACGGTCATATAGTTTTGGTTTGGATGATTTTCGATATACATGATCGTTGAAAAAAGACCAAAATGATAGACAATTGGATTGTTGAAATACATGATGTAGTGGATCCTATAAAATATATGCTAAAAAATAAGTGTCGTCTGATCCCAAGCTTCTGGTAATGGTATCAGCAGAGAATATTCCTATAATAATTATTTCATATTAAAAAAATGAAAAAGAAGAGAGAAACTAATTTTCTACCTTAATAGTTTTGAATGATTGAACTGCAAACTATCCACACACCTCTTTTTACTTCTCATACACCCTTAGTTAATTTCTGTCATTTGATCTTCTTCAATTCATTCAATCTGATAGTCGAAAATTAAAAGGGTGAGTGTGTGGATAGCACACCCCATTTGAAAAACGACGGTAAATCCAAGATATGTAAATAGTGTGTTCTAGAAAGAAAGAGGGGTAAATCCTAAGCACAAAAAAATATTTCATTTCCACATTTGTGTTGGTTTTTTTTTTAATTTTTTTTAACGGGACTATATAGCTAGTGGTTTCACTACAATAGTCTATTAACAGCATCCTCAAGAAATGAAATATTCCTTGGCATCTTCATACAATGATTATGAAATAATATATTTTTATTACAATTTGTACAATTAAAACTGTTCAATTTATTAATCATGCATTTAAAGATTATCTTTATAAAATACTAGTAGAGAGCACACACTTTGTGTGTGTGAACAAAATAGGTATATGATTGTCATTTTCTATAAAATTGAGGGTAAAATAGGAAATATGGATATGATTGTCATTTTGTCAAAAGATACAAAATTAAAGCCTCTTCAACCGTCCACCTCCTCCCATGTTCTCCTCAAGCTCAACTGCTTCAGTTCATTCAAACTATGCAAAACACATCATGATTTCACTTACGTGTATGAAAAAAAAGTGGTGGGACAATTTCTCTTAATAAGTGCATATTTGTTTATCTTATGTAAATATTTTGATATAAATTACTATTTTGCCCTCTTTATGTAAATATTGTTGTATCAAAAGTGAGGGCAAAACAGGAAAAAAGGGAAAATTTTGAAAGATATAAAATTACTATTTTGCCCTCCTCATGTCAACATTATGTATTCAAAATTGAGGGCAAAATTGGAAGAAAAGGGGGCAAAAAGTTGACAAGCACATAAACCATATGAAAGTTGACATGCCCAAGTAACCCAACTATAGTGGGAATTTTTCTTTTTTGGATTATCTCATACCTGCAAAAATATTGATATTATCTCGATATTTCCATCGAAATTTCCGTATTTTTGGACTACCGATATTTTAGACCTTGATAGGGACTCTATGTGGTACTAAGTCACTCATGTATCTTACCATGCAATGTATAAAGTGTAAAATATTGTACTAATTCATTGTATATAAATGATTATGGTGTGTTTAAACTTCTTTCATTAATTACTACATATTTTCTACACTCACAATGTTTGCTAGCTCGCTATATAATCAACTTAAATTAGTTAAATCCATCATGCAATGCATTTTCTTCCAATTTTTTGTGATAAACTAATAGATAATTGACTAAATAAACATCTTGCAAAGTTTCAATAAAAATTTCCAAGTTTTTCTTACAATTTCCTTGGTTTTTATTCAATTTTTATCGATATCGATAATATCCCGATATTTCCATCGAAATTTCCGTGTTTTTGGACTACCGATATTTCCGATATCATCGATATTTTAGACCTTGCTTCCAACTACGATGGTTCAATGTCAACAAGATACATTAATCATAATTTAACACATAAACCATATGAAAGTTCAATGGCACACGTAAGCGGGCAAACTAGTTTAAAGGTTATGATTTAAAAACACACGCTTTTGACATACATTTTGACACACGTTTTTGTAGAGCTCATTTCGTAATACATTTCAACAATCCGTATCGTCTTTTTGACTCCCTCAAAGATTATGTCTACCAAATATCTCCCAAATTCAAAATCATATGACCGTTGTATTAAACTTAGTGCTTCTTTGTAGAATCGTATATGTCCATTTTTTTTATTATAAATGAATGTCTAAATGACTTTGGATTTCTCTTATTTTTTGTAATAATGATCTATGAATGATGTACTAAAATATAAATGATTTGGATCGTTGCAATACATTACAAAGTAGACCCTTCAAAATATGTGTAAAAAACGTGTATATCCAAATCTATCCCATTTTAAAATATGCTTTTAAGTTATTTATCTTCATCTTCTTCCTTTTTCTATCCATCACATTATTGATAAAGTAATACCACAACCTAAGAATTTGCAAAGTTAGGGGAAATTACTAATTGTTCGGCTGTAAACTTTTCATTAGGTTAAATCTAGATATTTCTGGTTTTAAGGTCCCACGATAATTTATTTTTACGTTTATCATTATTAGGTTAAAAAACCCTTTTGCAGAAATGAGCAGAATACAATGAACCATATAATACACTGTATCATTTGAATTTCATTCACAACAAACTAAGGCTCTAAAAGGCGCTAGGCGCCAAACTCTAGTTGGACGGTGGGCAGTGGCGGAGCCAGGAATCTTACCACAAGGGGTTTTAGTGTAAAAGTCCAAATAAAAATTTAGGATGGAAAAACATATTGAAAATGAAATCATAGTACTTTCATTCATAATTCATAACGGAAACAATATTACAAGCTATAATTGTCCATGACAAGGTTTCATATTTTGAAAACGAAGCATTATAGCTTCATTTTCAATACAAGCAAAAATATCTCTCTCAATATAAACAAGCAAGCTATCACTCAACCATTGATCTCCCATTTTGTTCCTAAGTGGACCCTTAACAATATTCATGACAAAAAATGCTCTCTCCACTGAAGCAGTTGCAACTGGTAAAACTAAAGACAATGTAATGAGTAAATATACATAATTGAATACTCGATGCATCATTGTCTCCACCATTTTTTTTGCAAGATTACCAATCCCTTCCAATTGAGAGAAATCACTACTGGAACGCACATAATGAACATAAATCTCAAGTTGATCTTCAAGTGCAAAACGATCCTCATCCGAAAAGTCTTGAGGATAAAATTGAGCAAGACAAAGTAACTTTGGTTTATCAAAAGCTACAAATGAATCTTTCGGACTCACACATGCCAAACAAATAAGCAACTCGGTATTTACCTCATTAAAGCGATCCTCTAACTCCGTAATTTGCTCATCAATGACATAAATAAAGAGCTCCACACGATAATGATGACGATTTGTCTTTATTGGAGCATTACGCCTTGACCTCCCTGGAAGTATAAATGCCTATTCCATGTTAGGAACATCAATATGATGTTTTTCACAAAAAGAAGATACTTCATCAACCAATGCATCGAACCCATTATTCTTCATCCAATGTAGTTTTTCCTTACATGATTTCACTAAAGTCATTGCATTCACAATTTCTTGATCTTTCATTTGTGAGTCCCAATATGACTTTCATCAAGAAAAGGTGAAACACAAACTCAAAAGTACATATGTCTCTCATTAACTTATTTGCTTCACCCGCACTTTCATTGGGATTATCATCAATAACCATTTGAAGCACATGAACCACAGACGAAAACATGGAAATGATGCTAATCAAGGTACCATAGTGTGAGTTCCATCGTGTGTCACCGGCACGTTTGAGACTTGTTTCTTGATTTAAGCCTCGCCCCGTTATAAGACAATCATTTTCAAAAGCTATCACAAGCTCTTCTTGAAGTTGTTGTCTAAGTAAATCACGCCCCTTACAAGATGCTCCAACATGATTAACCACACTATTAGCCGTTGCAAAAAAAGAGGCAATGTCTATATTCTTCTTTGCTACGGCAACAAGAGCTAGTTGAAGTTGATGAGCAAAGCAATGAACATAATATGCACAAGGTTGTTCTCTCAATATCTTTGTTTTAAGGCCATTCAACTCACCTCTCATATTGCTAGCACCATCATAACCTTGTCCCCGTAGCTTGGAAATGCTCAAACTGTTGCAAGAAAAGAATGTGTCAATAGCATCCTTTAGTGAACTTGAAGTAGTGTCGGTAACATGTTGGATACCCACAAATCTTTCAATTACATGCCCGTTGTCATCTACATAACGCAACACCATAGCCATTTGCTCTTTCACCGACACATCACGTGCTTCATCCACCAATATTGAAAAGAATCTATCTTTTAGACCATCCATGATAACATCAAGTGTTTCAAGGGCACATGAATTCACAATTTCTTTTTGAATGCAAGGAGCTAGTAATTTGAGATTCCCCGGAGCATTTTCCATCACAACTTCTCTAACTTTATCATCATTATCTGCAAGGAATTGTAATAGCTCCAAGTAATTTCCCCTATTGCTTGAAGTGGCACTTTCATCATGGCCACGAAAAGCAAGACCTTGTAGTAATAAAAACTTAGTGCACTTGATTGATGCATTCAAGCATGTGCGATAAGCCTTACGAGCTTGGTCGGAGTGTTTGCTCACTGCCGTTTCAATATGTGTAGCTTGATTCATCAAATTTGTAGCAGCTTCTCTAGCCTTATTATGAACACTCCCAACCGGTCCAACATGCATCTTAAATCTTTCTCTCCCTTTCTTCCAAGTCTTAAATCCATCTCTAGTGAAAGCTTCACTACCTACTTGTTCAAAATTGGTTTTAAATAGATAGCAATAGAGACAAAATGCCGCATCTTTAGACATACTATACTCCAACCAATCAAACTCATCAAACCATTGGGGAATGAAGCGTCGATTAATTCCCGACATATTAGTTATTGGGAAATTATGACCTCTAGGTTGACAAGGTCCTTTTTGTAGATATGATCTTCGGACCTCATCTCTCATATTAGCATCATAATCTATTATTCGAGTTCTTAATCTAGGATCCGCTTGAAGATTACCCAAAACACCATCTAACTGACTTTGTCTTGAACTTGGAGTTCTTGAACTACCAACAGTATTTGAACTATCAACATTATTCGAACTACCCGAACCTGATGATGACTTTCTCTTAAAAAACCGTTCCATAATAATTCTACATATACAAAATATTCAAAATAAATACTCACAATAAAACAAACCATCAACATAATCAAAATAAATATGAATTGGATTTCAATTAAATTAAACTGTAAAATGGAAAGAAAAAAAATTTAGAGTATCGTTCCATTAAGTAAACTATACTAATATGCATAATAACTAATCCAACCAAGCCAACAATTCAATTAATCAATACCAATTAGCATACACATTATTCAATAAATAAAAATTCAATTCAACTAATCATATGAATAATTGTATACATTATGTAATAATTCAATTAATTAATTGAATATGATAATCAACAACCAATAACCAACTTAGTGCATTACCATATGAATATGATACAAATTATGTAAGAATTCAAATTTTAATTTTCACCCTAAAAATTAATTTCATATCAATAATCAACAACCAATAATCAACTTAGTGCATTTCCATATGAATATGATTCTATTTCTATAGCAATTAAATAAAATTTGTATTACATAATTATTTAGGGTTAGGTAGGGATTTTAAATTTACCTTTGAAGTTTGAAGGTTGGCTGAGGCTCGGCTCAGTGGCTGGAGGACTGGAGTGAGATTGTGAGACAGTGAGAGTGAGAGGAAACGGCTCAGTGGCTGGCTTGGCTGGCTTCGTCCGTTGCTGCTCTTGCTGGGATTTTGGGGAGCAACTTTGCTGCTCTCTCTGTCTGTAATTGGCCGTGAGGCTGAGAGAGAGTAAAGAAGGTTGTATGGGGGACACACGGTCCCCCCCCGCAACATATATATTTTTTTTCAAAAAGGATGAAACGGCGCCGTTTGTTTTATAATTTTTACATTTTTTTTACCAGGCCCAAAACGACGTCGTTTTGGCCTGGTTTAAAAAAAAAATATAACAGCAATCTACAGATTGCAGATTGCCTAGAAAAAACAGAGGACTGAACCAGGTTTTCCGGCGAGGCGCGCGCGAGGGGAGTGGCACCAGAGGCTCCAAGAGGTCGCACCAGCAACTCCAAGGGACCTCTAAGGTTATTTCCATGGCTTCCAAGAGGTCGTGCGACCCCATTGACCCCACTGTGGCTCCGCCCCTGACGATGGGTAAGAGCTTAGGGCCTAAGCGTTTAAGCGGGGCTTAAGCTGTTTTTTTTAATTTTAATTAAATTTGTTATATAATATACAAATAAATATCTACTTATACTTAAAATAGTGTAGATAATATCATTTGTTAAAAAAAATATAATAATAATTGTATTGGGATATATAAACTATGAAATATTGGGAACAAGCATAGAGTAAGTGTTCATCCCCCTCTCCCTTAGTATAGATAATATCGTTTGTTAAAAAATCTTTATCTAAGTATTTAACAAGTCTCTTACAATTTATTGAAAAATAAAATGTAAAAATTATCCATTTTCCGTCTAAGTAAGAGTTACGACCTAACCGGGTCTACATGGGCTAGGCGGACACCTAATTAGGGGTAGGCAGACGCCTAGGCAGGTCTAGGTACCCTTCCTTAATTTTCAAACGCCTAGGAATTAATTGAGGCGATAGCCATCCGCCAGTGTTCTGATCCTAGGTTGGATTTATATCGGCTAGTAATCCTCACAACATAAGTGATATCAGGCCTTGTGCATATCATGGCATACATGAGACTTCCTATTCAGAAGTATAAAGAATTCTACTCATATGTTATATCAATTTAGGAATCTTAGGTCCTATAGACTTAGAAATGTGAGTTTCGTGTCTCATAGGAAGAAGGCTTTTCTTAAATTGCTCAATCTAAAACCTACTTAACACCTTATCTATGTACATAGATTGAGATAATCCAATTAATTTTTTGGATCTATCACGATAGAGCTTGATCCCGAGTACATAAGATATATATCCTAAATCTTTCGTGCGGAAGGTTTTAGACAACCACACTTTAACAAAAGAAGGCACTGCAATATCATTCCAAAATAGTAATATGTCATCTACATATAACATAAAGAATACAACTGCGTCTCCAACGAACTTTTGATCAACACAATTGTTGTCTTCATTTTGTGTGAAACTAAACAATTTGATTTCAGTGTTAAAATGAACGTTCCAGCTCCTTAAAGCTTGCTTAAGTCCATAAATGGACATCTGAAGCTTGCCATTCAGAAGCTTGCTTAAGTCCATACCTTACTCTTTTCAGACTTGGACATGAAGCCTTCGAGTTGAGTTATATAGAGCTCTTCCTCTAGGTAGCCATTAAGAAAGGTTGTCTTCACGTTTATCTGCCATATCTCATAATTATAGTATGCAACTATAGCAAGTAAAATCCAAATGTAATTAATCTTAGAATAGAAGGTTTCCTTATAATCAATCCTTTCCCATTGTCTATAGCCTTTGGCTACTAATCTAGCTTTATAAGTCTTCATGTTCCCATTAGTGCCTATCTTCCTCTTGATGACCCATTTGTTTCCAATAGGTACTATGTCTTCTAAAGGATCTACAAAAGTCTAGACTTGATTTTGATACATGAAATCCATCTCGGATTTCATGGCCTTTTGCCATTTCTTTGAATCAATGTCAGACATTGCTTTATTGTAGTCTCAAGGGTCATCTTTTGTGTCATTGTCACCTAGAAGGTGAAATTCTCCAAAGTCGTTATCCATGCCATACTTTTGAGGTGGCTAGGTGACCCTTTTAAATCTACGTGGAGCAAAGGGTTCAGAACATGACTTTCTATATATTGATTTCTTGTTTGTAGTTACTAAAGAATTTCCTTTAACTCTACCGTTCTTTTGCCAGTTTTATTGACAAAAAAAAATTCGTCCTCAAGGAACATAGCATTTCTTGAGACAAAGAATTTATGGTCATTAGGGTGACCAATTCTTATCCCAAAATCTGTTTGGAATACCCCCACAAAGTAGCACTTAACTGGCCTTGGTTTAAGCTAGTTAGCCTTAAGCTTCTTAACGTAAGGTGGACAACCCCAAATCTTAGATTTGTTTTTGCAATGCTGGATCTCATATGGCACCTGTGGAATTGACTTGGAAGGCACTCTATTTAGCACATAAACTGATGTATGTAGTGAATCTCCATAATGAAACTGATCGATTAGTGAAACTCATCAAAGAACAAACTATGTTCATTAAGGTTCGATTTCTCCTTTCAGAAACTCCGTTATGCTAAGGAGTTCCTGGTGGAGTCCACTGTGATACTATTCCTCACCCTATGTTAGGATATTTATCTGTTTCCTAATTTTCTCTCTATTTCATTCTTAAAATCTTTAAACCTTTCAAAGGATTGTCTTGTACTTTATAAGATACATATAGCCAAACTGAATGTGATCATCGATGAATGTGATATGGTAGGAGAAACCTCATCATGTTGTAGTGTACATAGGTCCACATACATTTATGTGGATTGTGAGACCATGATTTTCTATGGGCAAAGTAAGGTGGATCGGAATACAAGTACCTCAGAAGCAAGGTTCTAAAAGACGCTAAGCGATAGTCAAACGGCGGGCTGGGGTCTAGCGCCTAGGTAGCTAGGCGGGACCTAGGCGGACTTGGCGGATTTAAGTAAATCTATTATATTTTGTGCAAATAAGTGTCTGTTTATACTTAAAATATATATAATTTCATCATAAACTACAAAATAGAATGACATATATATATTATGAAGTATTGGAACATAATGAAAACATGGGGGAACAAGCATATAATGTACGTTCATTTATGTATTCAACAAGTCTCTTAAAATTTATTGAAAAAATAAAATGCAAAATGAAAGTTATCTATTTTCTGTCTAAGTGAGTCGCAACCTAGGCGGGCACCTCATCAGGTCTAGGCACCCTTTCTTAATTTTCAAACGCTTAGGCATTAATCGGGGTGGTGGTCAGCCGCCTAGCGCCTAGGCAGCGCTAGGAGAGGATTTTTAGAACATTGCTCAGAAGTCCAGACATTGACTCAGCAGCTCCAAGCAAAGCTAGATTAAGCAATGATGCCACCATCATCTTGTTTCGGAGGAATGGGCGAAGTCCGAACGACTTTGCTGAGATTAACCATGCTTGTTTTGCAAGATACGGAACCTGATCCAACAGGAAAACAAACTGGTTCCTATATTATTAGAGTTCCTACAATCTAAGAATTGGCGTTCGCCGCAAGTAATTACACTCCAAAGGGGATACAATATGTACTCCCAGATATCTTTTGGCATTCTCCCAATTTAATATAGATTCTATCCTAAAAAAACCTTTCTCCCGATTGGTATAAATACACCATTCTAAAGTTCATATTTGGTAACGCAACATTGCACTCTATCTTTTTTACCTATTGCTTAAGTTTTATTATTGCTTACTAACTTGACTGTCGGAGAGCATTTGATCGGCAAACCCATGGTCTTTGGCTTACTTAAGCTTGTTACTCTTTTACATGTTACTTGGATTTGTGCATGTCCACCACTTGTGACGATACGCAAATTTGGTTTTAACAATTGGTGCTTTCATTGAGAGTGAACTCATATTTCTCTCGATCAAATCACTCTACCATAACCATAACTGCTGAGAAAAGTTCTGTTAACGCTAATGTTAATCCAACCATGGGAAATAATCGCTTTCTGACGTATCTGTTGTCCTAATAGGGTTAAACCCACTTCTCTTGGAGCAAACAACAACCCTATTGAGACGGCCTCCCCAAAAAAACAATGAGGTCCCAATCGACAGGCCCCTTCTTACCATGGACTAGATTTGGGAGACTTTGATGAAAATCAACCCTTTTATTGATAAGTTACAAAAAACTCAGTGGCCTCTTAGGCTGAGAGTCGCGCCAACTTCGTGCACATCAAAAGGCAAATGAAGAATTTAGAAAACTCCAATGGGACTACCTCACCCTCCACCTCTAAACTTAGATTCCTGTTTTCAACTATGGGAACATAAGTATCGTAACCCTTGAGGGGCAGCCCATCGTATCAATAACTATTCCAACCCCAGTAGACGTCGCTAATCCGAGTAGAGACACTTCGCATGATTAGCA